ATACAGTAAATGTACTTGTATGTTGGAAATCCAGCCCGAAGCTCAAGTCAGTAAGGCTTTGAAACTGGCTTGTTGCACAAATTAAAATTAATGAAGATTTTAGATATATGAATTTCATATATTTGCACTGTGGTGAAGAGATGAAATTAAGAGATCCTCACAGCTAAGAACACTACTGAAACGAGTAGTTGACAATAGCACCTGAAAAAAATTCAGGCCCTTACGGGATTTGAACCCATGACCTCTGCAATACCAGTGCAGCACTCTACCAACTGAGCTAACAAGCCAACTGGGAGCTGGTCAATGTGTTGGGTCCAAATAAACCATCCAAGTAATGAATAAAGATTTTAGATATATGAATTTCATATATTTGCACTGCAGTGAAGAGATGAATTTAAGAGATTCTCGCAGCTAACTACTTGTTTCAGTAGTGTTCTTAGCTGCGAGGATCTCTTAATTTCATCTCTTCACAGCAGTGCAAATATATAGCTCCCAGTTGGCTTGTTAGCTCAGTTGGTAGAGCAGTGCACCGGTATTGCAGAGGTCATGGGTTCAAATCCTGTACGGACCTGACTTTATTTCAGGTCCTATTTTCAACTACTCATATTAGTAGTGTTCTTAACTGCGAGGATCTCTTAATTTCAATTAAAATTAGTTGTTCTATGCTTTGACCCATGGCATTTCTTTTGGATCTTTATTAGCATAAACAACAGTGAACAAAATTTACCTTTTTTCCCCAATTTTTTTTCATCAAACCAGGGATGTGGCCTATCTGCAAGAACATCTGAAAAAATGCATTACAAATTTGCATGAGTTAACAATACCTATAATAAATTTCTTAATCTGTGTAGCAAGCTAACAAAAACTTCTATAAAAATACCAAGGTACATAATGGATCATTGATTTTGTGAGGTCTCTAATTAGTACTCTCCAGTTCTTGGTACATTGTATTTTGTCTTGTTTGGCAATAATTAGGTTGGAGAAAACTGAATTTGGTTACTGGCCATTTGTGAAAGAGCTCACCCACTCAGAAACAGTAAGACAGATTGTCAGCCACCCTCAAGTAACTACTGAGTTAGATAAAGGTGTGTACATGGAATTAAAAGCTTACTCTAATTGCTTTTTCAGCCTGAGCTAGGCATGTTTTTTGAGAATTCTTTACTTCAGTAACTGGGAAGAATGGTTGAAAAGAAGGGTCTTTGCTAATCATATTGTTACAGTATCCTTTGGATTTTATGCCAAGTTGTGATGTTTTAACTGTGAATTAACTGAACTTACACCCTATTAGTTTGAAGCAAAACAGAACTCTGTGAACCAAAGTATTTCAGTAGCAGCTGGTGTAACAAAACTTGTCAAATTTACAAGGGCTGTACTCAATTTTAGCTGTTAGTTAAGCTGAAATTGAATTATAGCCTGTTGTATTGCAAAAATAAAACTATTTATAAAACATGTGAGGAATCTTTTTATGGGTGAAAAATTAAGTTACAAACTGAAGGCTGTTTTTAGTTTGACTGCCATTGAAAGTGATGGTAACACAACTTAAATTTTTTGCCTGAAGTTATTATGTACAGAAAATTTGTTAATAGTCAGTTTCATGAAACTTAATTTACAAACTTACAAACTTGCAGCCACTTGGTGTTAAGCTTTTGCTTCTGAATCTTCTTTTTCTGTTGGCTAGGCCAACATTTTCAAGTATGAGCCGCAATAAGCATTATTTCCCTTCTTTGCTTGTTAGGTCGAGTGTGGATTTTCGCAGCATTTGGTGATGGCCTTTTGGAGAGCTATATCAGATTATTTGTAGATAGTCAAAAGTTGGCAAAAAGGTTTTATACAAAGTGAGTTATTAGTAATACCCAAATCTAGAAGTACAGATTTATTTGAATGGTAAAAAAGTGGTTATTTAAAAAACAAATTCAAAATTTTCCATACTCTAACTTGCTCCCTAATTAATTAGACTGTTGTTCTCACCACCAAAAACATGATCTCTTGCAAGTTGAGGTGATTCCTCAGTATTGTGTTGCACATCTTGTGCTGCAGATAAAAATCACATAGTCAGGCGAATATATGCACCCTCATTCCTAGAACATGGTTTGGTTTTCCAATGAATGGACCTGGTAAAGAGAGTATGATGATCTTGAGCTCTTTAAAGAGCACAGTTACCAATGTTTGTTATTGTACATTTATGTTTTTGGTATAAAAATCAATCCCTTTAAATTGGAGAAATTAGAAACAACTTCATCAAATGGAAAAAAAAATGTGGCTAATAGCATGTGCGAAGCACATTACTCATGGATGCAAGTTATGACCTTAAAAGCAACCTCTCAAAGAACATTTTGAGATGATTTCATTTGAAATTGCATAATTTTTTCCCAAATTAAATATGAAATTGTTTGGTGTACTCTAGAATTTCTGTTTATCAAGTTCTTTTCAAGCAAAACTTTTAAAAACCCCTGCTTCCAACTACTGCAAAATGTATGGGGAACCAATGAAATTAGGTTGTATGATTAGTGCCAGAATAGGCATAAATATGGTAAGTTTGGCCCATCATATCTCCTAAACAAGCTCAGTGACCCATCTTTTTTATTGTACTTTTTAAAAGAGACATTGGTGAGGAACATTTAAGGATTTATCAATTTTTTTTTTGAGGAATCACCCTAACAAGCTCTCTTACCATTCTTTTCTGTCTGTTTGTTTGTTTGTTTTCTTTTTTAAGAAAAGCATTTGTGCGAGATAAGGAGGTAGGTTTGCTTCTCTTACTCTTGTTTTTTTTACTAAATAATAGCAGTAATGTTACCAACGTAAAAACATTTTTTTAAGTACATTGTAATAAAACAATATTTATATTTTGTATTGATCATCAGTTTTTCTCAGAGATTGCAGTGTTGTAGGATGAAAATGGAATGCACTTTTTTAAGAATTTTTTTTCATTCACCCTGTTCTACTTGCTTTGGAGTTGTTATCACTGCATTGTTGTATTCATTAATCTATGCTATTTATTAAAATAAAGATAATAATTTAGTGATACTGAAAACCTCAGTATTTAATTTTTAAATGAAAGTGATTAAAGCAACAGTCTGAAAGAATGAAAACTTCTAATTTATGTATCAAATGAAATTAGAACAATATAAACAGAGAACAATTTGTCTGAAAAATATGTTGAACTGCTCAGAAGTCACTGATAGTAATAGAATTTTCTCTCTTTTTGTTAGTTATTCAGCACTATTTTAATAGTGTATTATACTTGTGTTTTCAAGGTTGAATTGAATAATTGCAGACATTTTTTCTTTGATTCTAACTAACAGTTTGCAATCTGAATCTACAAAAAGTACTGCATAATAATTATTTATAGCTTTGGAACCTGCATTTAGAATACATGTTTTCAGTTTCTTATTACTTAAGTTGCAGTAACTTGTTTTCCACTCTTCTGAACTGTTTTGTTTTGTGGTAGTAAGACTTAAATAATGACATCTTTCATTCTTCACAGAGACTTGCTTTATTGCAGACTTTAGTCTCAGGTCTTGATTATATCTCAATTGTCTTGGACCAGGTAAGTTAAGTTAATTATTGACCATCACTTTAATCTCTGAGTGATGATAACATCAGTTGCTTTTTCTTGGCATTGGAAAATTTTTATACGCATTATAAGACCTACCTACATATTTTGTAAAACATTCAGATTTAACATTTGTTTGCTTCAATTTATTTTGGTTAAAGCACCAAAAATCAAAGAATAAACAGTTGTAGTGTAGTTGTAGATAAGGTCTTTGATTACAAGTCACGCTTTCCAAAACTTGGTTGATTTGCGCTTTAAAGTTCTCTTTGACACAAGAATCTTGTTGAAGACACTTAAATGTGTAATGAATCATGGGAAATAATTAAATTATTTAAATGAAAACAGAGAAATATTTTAGCACCAAATAAAAGTAGGCAAGATGTACAGGCAAAAGTCGATATCCAACTTCTTGATTGAGTCACATCTTTCATAGTGATTTCTAATTCTTTAGACACAGTAGTCACAATCTCAGGCTGGAATCAAGTTGATTATTCACATCTTAAAAACTTTCAAAAATTTATTTTATGAAATTCTTGTGGAATCATGTCAAGTTCTTTCCACATTTCACTAAAATGGCCGCCATTGGATCCCCCAGATGTTGAGATATACAAATGTTGATTTGATGTTGTGGCGGTGGCATTTTGAGACAAAACCTTTGTTTTCTGAAACATTGCAGAACAAAGCAAGCTGACTGTGTTTAATAGTAAAAATGGGCCAAAGATGTGCTGAAACACGTGCTTTTTTCGGCACAGAACGCAAAAAAAGTGTGAAGGTTTTGTGTGTGCATTGGCTATCTATCTTTATTCTGTACTGTAACCCTTGAACTTTGCATGTTAGGAAGCATTAAACTTTTTTCATTTAATATTGTAAGGCAAAGATAAATGTATCGTTGAAAATGTATGTGTATCGTTGATAGAGATCAATAAGAGAATACAGAAGCATGCTTAAAGTGCAGGGTATGTTCAAATGGAAATGGTAGTGAAATAGTTGCCATATCCACAACAGCTTTTGGAAACTTAGTGTGGAACCACAGGTAAAGAAATGGTCTTTAAAGATGAGCTGTAACTGAGGTAATTGCCTGAAAAGAAAGCCTTAAAAAATTTAGGCTTCAATGGAACTCAACCCTTTGCCTTCCAAGTACTAGTTGTAGTGTAGTGCATGAATTCCTGGACTTTGATGTATTATTCTCTTTGTTAGGAATCTCCTTATCTTGGTTATGGAACTCAGTATTGTGAAGGTAATGATAGATGTAATAGTAATAGTGGTAATACTAAACAAAAGTAACCATAATGATGATGATGATGACAATGATGGTGATAGTAATAACAATAGTGATGAAAATCATGATAATGATAATGATAACAAGGATGATGTCATAAACCTGTAAGTTTTTTTTTGAGTCATGGGCATAGGATTTTTTGTATAGGTCACTGTCATATCTAAAGAGGCCAAAATATTCCTGAAAACATGCAGAAAATTTCAAAAGACACCTTAGAAGAGTCTCAACAGAACCTTCTCTCCATTGCTCTCCCAATATTTGGCCTCAGCTTACATGTACATGTACATGTATTCTACTGGGTAGATTTTTAGAAAATGAATCAGTCAAGGCTCATGTAGTGCATACTTTTTGTTGTGTGTGTGAGAAACTGCAATTTATTGGCAGACATGATCATTATGATTCTTTAATGAATATCATTTCATAATTAAAAGTAGCAAGATTAAAACATGACCTTTCAGTGACGACATGTCACCACTTTCAAATGTAAAATTATTTGTAAATAGAATAAGATATGGTAAGTTTTGAGCTTGGTAAAGAAATAGGGAAAGATAGACATTTTTCTCTGTAAGATTATTATTAATAAGTTCAGTGATGTAAAATATGAAGAAAGGAAAGTGTGAAACTGATTAAAATTACCAGTAGTATAAAAATGAGATAGAGTGAAACAAAAGAATGTATATAATTAAATGAACAGTTTCACTGGAATAGAGTCTTTTTTAATGTTCAGAGTTGGTCTCTTTTTCCTCATTAAAAGTATCTTGTAAATAAGGCACTCAAACACACCTTCCTTTCTTGATATAACATCATTGAACTTACAATAATTTTACATGATAATGGTGACATGTTGCCGAAGGTCATGTTTTAATCTCGCTACTCATGAAATATTTTTCCAAATTATTGATGAATATCAAGACATATGGTATTATGTCAAGTGGTGTTATTTAATTATGTCCTTTTAAGAGTGTTCCTCTAAAGAGTGTGCTCAGTTTTCATGTAAATTCAATATTAAGTATTACTTGTGTTCTAGTGGATGGCAAGTGTCAGAGGACACTTGTAACAATGGGTAAAGATGCTGAGGGAGTTGGCATCAGTTCAGGCATCAAAAGGGATGACAACAATAGCACAGTTAGCAGCAGCTTATCAAGCTCATCAACAATAGCTACACCACTGAGTCCAAGGAGTTATCATTCTAGTGGATTAAATGAAATCGATGGGGAAGAAAATGAAAATGTATCTGACCAAAAAGTACATGTCCAACAGACTGATCAGCACGAGACTCAGTTTTGTGACCAGTCTGGCAATGAAGGTCATAAACAAGAAACTACTTCCAGGCTCCACTATAACAAACACTTTCAAATACAGCAGTTTACAGAAGATAGGGATGTGGGGTTTGAACTAATAGATAACAGAAACAAAAAGCAAATGACACAAAGAATAGATCAATTGGTAGATGCAGAACAGAACAAAGGAAAAAATTACCTAGAGGTGCAGCATGTTTCATCTGGTCACAACCATATGCATAAATGGCCACCAGATGTGCCCTCTGTAGGTTGTGAAGATGCTCCTGAAGAACTGTCCTGTGAAGGTGGGTCATAGATGTTGCTTTTTCTTAAATAAACTGCGTTTTTAATAACATATAAATCAAATAAGGTAAGCAAAAGATCACAACCCTAAAAATCCTAAGGGAGAAAATATATTCTTTCCCTATGATTGATTTCAGAAGACTTACTGCACATGTCAAGATTTCAGAGGTCACAAGATAGCCACTCAAGTTGTAGCCCAACCAACAGTGTACATTCAACAGATTCTATGGACCAGTTTTGTAGAGACTTTGACTCTAGTTTAAAAGTTACCAGTGAAATGTCCCTAAACAGTGCCACTCTTCAGTTGTGTGATAATACTGCTGGTGGACAGCCAGACTCCTATGATGCAGAAAAAAATTCAACGCATGGAGTTTTCAGTGATGATGGCCTGCAAACTGTAACAGCAGCAGAAACTGAAAAACGATTATCAGAAGCTGATAATTCACCTAGTTATGAAGGTAAAAAAAGGTGCAAAAGTTGTATGGACAACTGTATTTGCTCATTTACACAACCTCACAACTGATGGTAGTCTTAGGCTTCCTTTACAAATTTGCATACAAGATATGTACATCATCCAAATTCGCTTTTGGAAAACAATATTGGGGATGTTCCAATAAACAGTTGTACAGTGGAGTCTTGTGTTGGCCAATTTAACATGTATTTTAGGACAGTTGCCAAGAATAAAACCATCAGTGGCTACCACATGCATATCTGCAGGCTGATATCTGATATTTTCTGTACTTTGATTTGATTTGAGATTGTAATAAATGGATATCACTTACCTTACAGGTAAATGAGCATCTTAAAGTTTGAATCAACATCAATTGCATTGTTCAGTTTAGTGGTCTTAAGTGGGTGGCTCATAATTATTTGTAGAGTGGCTGCTTTCACTGACTAATTGGTGCTTCCACTCTATACCATTTCTGGGGGAGGAGGTTCAAATCAAGAATAATTGTGCCTGAGGGCATTGTTTTGACTTGAGGGCTGTGGTGGTTGTAGCAAATTTACACACTGTGGAGGTATACTGTTTTCTTGATGTGGTAAAGCAAAATTTCTACCAGCCCCTCAAGGATGGTAAGGATAGTTATGAATCATTGTCTAATTTATGTACAGGTGTAGGTGCTGTAAATATCCTCACACTTGTTGCTGTTTTGTAAATTTTTTCTTTGAATGACAGAATTCTTCTATTATTTCTTAGGGATAATATTAGGCATTCCAAAACGACCCTCACTGCACCAGACCCCAACAACATCTTGTGATGTAAGGTATGCTTGATGATGTGTTGAGTAAATTTGTAATGGGCATTGTTGAACTAACTAGTGATGTTACAGCACATGAAAAGGGAAGGAGATGCTCAACTTATCATATGAAAAAAATTTTCTTTCTAGGTTAGTAGTGTACCCCTGTCGGCCATCAAGAATCCAGATTTGTGAAGCATATATTTACTTTAGGTTTTTAATCAAAATGTGTGAAAGATGAATAAGTAAATACATGTAGATGAATGAATTCATAAATAATATAATTATAAATATGTTGTGTTTACTTAACTTCATTTATTGTTTGTGAATATGGAGGCCATCTTTGCGGCTGTGAACACTACATTGATATTCAGGCCTGTACATGATTTGAACCCATGGCCTCTGCAATACCCATGCAGTGTTCATCAACTGAGCTAACAAGCCAACTGGGAGCTTGTCATTGTTTTGGTTTGTAATAAACTCATGAAGTGATTTATCAATGACTGTGAATCTATGAAAACCATGTATGTGAACTGCAGTTTAAGAAATGAATATGAAAGTCATCTTTGCAGTAATGAAAACTCCATAAGCAATAGTGAAATATTTCATATAAAAATATTTTATGTAGAAATTTATTGTTTTCATTACTGCTTAAGTAGTCTTCATTGCTGTGAAGATCACTTTCATTTCTTTTTTTCAATCAGTTTTTCACATATATGATTTCATTTATTCACAATCATGTATTCGTCACTTATTGGGTTTATTAAGAACCAACATAATGACCAGCTCCCAGTTGGCTTGTTAGCTCATTTGGTAGAATACTGTACCAATATTGCAGATGTCATGGGTTCAAAATTTTTTAAAGCCTTATTTTCACTGCTTCTTAATGAGTAGATTGGAGTAGCACTGCAGAGATTGCTTTCATATTTATTGCTTAAACAGCAGTTCACATAATCATATGGTTTTCATATTCACAGTTTTTTATTATTGTTTGTGTTTGTGTTTGTGCTAATGCGGGTGCAGTGTGATGTTTTGAGTGGCATTACTGAAGAAATATGTGTTTAGGGTGGATCAGAATAGGATGCTGCTATTGTCGTTGGAAGTGTTTGAGAAGAACAGTGAGCAGTTTCACAGGGTGAGAATCTAATCATATATTTATTTGTTTTACCTTTACTATCCATAGAATCTGCCTGACTCTTTTACTCAGTTGTTCTTAAAGGAAATCCTCATAAAGATTAGTCAGTATTTAATGCTAACGACAAACCCATCCTTCTTAGCTAGGACTACATTTCGACTTATTGCATAAATGCGGTTGCTTCGTTACAGATGCTGGTGTGTATGTGTGGACTCCCTGGTAGTCGGTTGTATTTTATTAACCTCCTCCTCACGGATCATGCGGTTTATCTTCTAAGCAAAGGTATTATCTGCAAAATGATATGAAGTTATTATTGAAAACAAACTGAAAAGTGACTGTGAATCTAAGAAAATCATATATGTGAAATGCGGATCAATGAATGAATATGAAAGTGATCTTCGCAGAAATGAACACAAGGCCTAAAATATTCAGGCCTGTACGGGATTTGAACCCATGTCCTTTGCAATACCGGTGCAATGCTCTTCCAACTGAGCTTACAAGTCAACTGGTAGCTAGAATTTTCGAGGCCTTATTTTCACCACTACTTAAATAGTGTTCAATACCTGCGAAGATCGCTTTCATATTCATTTCAGATAGCAGTGTTGATTATTCATGCTTATTATATGTATATCTGAAGGCAGAAAATAAACAAAAATCAGAACATTTCAAATTACTCTTTATTGTAGTATTGTTA